TCTTGGGTTTGGGGTGTAGGGTTTAGGGTTTAGGGTTTAGGGTTTAAAGTAGGGTTCAGGGAAGGCTTTGGGTTTTTGAGCTGCGGAGGTACGAACAAACCTGGAAAGACTATTGATGATATTTAGGGTTTAGGGTTTTAGGGTTTAGGGGTTTAGGGTTTAGGTGAGAACAATTGGATACTATAGGGGCGTTAATGAGTAGAATAGGGTTTCGGGCCCCTTCTTTTGAATAAGGATATTAAGGAACTATTGATTACATCTTTGGGTTTAGGGTTTTGGGGTTTGGGGTTTAGGGCTTAGGTGAGACACTGTTGATGGTATAAATCGTGCATTACCTTAAGGACCGTAATTATAAGTATAGTTACCTTAGTTATAACCCTAGATACTAAGTCCCATGATCCTTTAAGTATTGGAAAGCCTCCAGGCCCCTGTGTTACCACTGAGCTCCCGTGGGTAGTTCTTTAGGGTTTAGGGTTTCGGTTTTAGGGTTTAGGGTTTAGGGTCCCTTTGTAGGTCCAAAATAGTACGGCACTGTTATAAGACAGACCCTAGAAGGGACTCACACTTGGAGAACTAGCCTTACAGACTCCCTAAACCTCTAAACCCTAAACCGCTAAAACCCTAAACCCTAAACCCCAAAAAAACCCTAAACCCCTACACCCCTACAACCATAAACCCTAAACCCTAAACCCTGGACGAAACTCTGACAGCGACTCTTCTGGAAACCCAATGGGTCCAAGAACCAATAAAGTAGGCACTTAGCAGATATCTTGGACCCTATGAGGAACCCTCACAGAAGCCATAGAACCGCTTAGAAACCTTGTACAAATATACCACAACCCGAAACAAATCCTAAACCCTAAACCGAAAGCGCATCACCCTAAACCCTAAACCCTGAAGCCTAAACCCTAAACCTTGAAGCCTAACCCCTAAACCCTGAAGCTTATCCCCTAAACCCTAAACCCTGAAGCCTAACCCTAAAACCCTGAAGCCTAACCCCGAAACACTAAACCCTGAAGCCTAACCCCTAAACCCTAAACCCTAAACCCTAAACCCTGAAGCCTAACCCCTAAACCCTAAACCCTAAACCCTAAAGCCCTCAACCCTGAAGCCTAAGGCCTAAAACCCTAAACCCTGA